GCGTTGACAGAGAGGAGAAGGTAGAAATGACTCAGCCTGGAACTGAAAATATGGATGGAGGACAACAGAGCTGCTTCATGGAAGAAGAACCTCAGGGGAGACTTCAACGGATTTGTTTTATGTTTTTGGAATCGATTTTGGGACATTTTAAATCAATTTTGAATTGTAGTAAATGAGAATGTAGATTCTTATGTGAATCGATGTTTTGGCACACCTCTAATGAAAACCATCCTGTTGGACTAACCTTTAACCTGTCCAACAGAGCATCTCTGTCAGCTGTCATCTGCTGCAGTTTAACTTCCACTTGGTTCAGGTTTAAGTCATCAGCTGACACGGGTTTGTTCCGGGACAACTTCAGCTCATCTTGAGCCTAAAAGCAGAAAGAATTCATGCTTCTTCAAAAGGTCAAATGTATTCTTCACATACTGAAACCCTCGCACACTCACCTGCTTATAGAGCATTTTGTAATGGTCCTTCTCCTGGCAGAGGGCCTTCACGTTGTTCTGAATGTCTTCTGTCTGCTTCTCAATGTCCAGCAGAGATGCCTTCAGCTGGTCTCTTTCTTTCATTACACGGCGCAGCTCTTCTTGGACCTTCCCCTGAAAAATACAAAGTTGTTATTATGATATAAAAAGTAATCTTTATCATGTTGTTGTGGTCTTCTACCATGATCCCTTTAGACTTTGGACTCCTGCCTCTGTCTGGACTAGGACTTAGTTCTGCAGCTCCTCTGGTTCTTTTGTAGCGCTCGGCCTCCAGGCGGTAATAATCCCTCTCCTCCTCCAGACTCTTAACGAAGGCATCGAGACGAGAGGGGGAGTGTTCCCTTCCACAGACACCGTATTTACTGCGCATGGTCTCCAGCTCCATCACCAGCTCTTTGTCTGCAAAACAGATAAAAGAGCAATAAACACAGCAAGAGGACGACGCTGTGAAAAATAACCGAGTCAAACCAGACGTGTGCTGACCAGCTGCCATCATCTTCTCCACTTTGTCCTGCAGCCTGACTTTCTCATCTTCCAGGAAGTTCACCAGCCCCTCCAGCTTCTGGTTTTGCTCTTTGAGCTCCACCAGCTGATCTCTGAGACGATCCTTTTCAAACTCACCATCAGACTGCTCCTGGGTTCAAAGAGTCCAGTCAGATTTTTGTTCAAATCATTGTGTATTAAACTGTGTATTAAATCAATCTTCAATTGTCATGTACGCTGATGATTCAATGTTCTATTCGGATTCTAAAATTAATATATCAAAAGTAATAGAGAATGAGATGGATTTACTTCTGAAATGGGTTAATGATAATATGATTCTGAACGTAAACAAATCTAGATCAATGTTAATTGGTTGTAAACAGCGACTGCATGGTAATCCACAGTTGAACCTCACTATGAAGAGCTCTGTTTCGGAGCAAGTCACACAAGTTAAATTACTTGGCATCACAGTATACTAATAATATATATACTATACTACTAATATGCTAACAAATCAAATTTGTTAAGGTCACAGGTAGTTCAAAATAAGGATGCTTGCTTAGTGTTAAGATGTTCATTTCATGCAAGCATTATAGAAATGCACCGTACTTTACTGTGGCCATTACTGAAGGTTACGGTGCAGTAGAATTTACTTACATTTATAAACAAAGTTATAATTTCTAGGAGGCCTGAATCAGTGTATGAAAAGCTCATTTACTATGATCAAATACATAATTACATTACTACATACTCTTGTGAAACAAAATTAATTGTAAATTATGCTAGAACAAACTTGCTACAAAAATCAGTAGTTTATAGAGATATTCAGGTATGGAATAAATCAGGGGTTCTTAAACTTTTTGAACTTGGGGCCCAATTTATTGAACATCAAGTGGCACGAGGCCCAGTCACACATTACCAATGTACGGATCAAAATGATAATTATTATAAATCTTGGTTTAATTTGTGTTGTATTTACATTATGACTAAATTAAATACACTTACACTTTAAAAGTAAAACTCTCTCTCTCTCTCTCTCTCTCTCTCTCTCTCTCTCTCTCTCTCTCTCTCT